CCAGTATAGTTTTGACAGCAATCCTGTTGCAATCAGTACCTGAAAAAAAAGCCATTCGGATCACAAATTAGAACTGTCCTTCTTCATTCCCCCTTCTCCTCTTCCTCACTTTGATTTTCCCTTTTAGATTAATTTAGAACAAACAAACAAACAAACAGAACACATATATATATTAGATCAAGAAAATGTGGCTGTGGGCATAGGTTTGAATTTTCCTGTTTGTTTTGTTTTGTTTTTGTTTTTGTTTTGTACCGTGGATGGAACTCTGGACCTTGTGCTTGCAAGGCAGGCAGTGTTCCTGTGGTTTTTGATTGTTGCTTTCCTATTGGCTGCTTTGGGATTAGGGGAAGGGATTGTGTATGTTCAATATGGAGTTGGTCTCAGGACCTTTTTATATTATCGTTGAAATTAGATTCTTCTCAGTTATTCAGGAGCAGATTATCCAGTTTGAAGACTATCTGGGTATTTTGTTTCTTCTCTTTCCTCTCTCCTCAATATTGTTGCCAATGTTTTGACAATTTCCTCCCTCTGCTGACATGTACAAGATTGACCATAAAAGGAGAAAGGAAACATCCAATCAGTTTTGTTTGTTAATTGCTCTGGTACAGTTTGTTCAGAAGGAAAAGAAAATATAGGCTCAACTGGAGTTTGAAGATTATCTGTGAGTTGAATCTACCCATACTGTCTCTAAGCCTCATTTGTACAGATAATCGAGGGTTGGCAGAACTTCAGAGAAGTATCTCTTAAGGGAGATCAAACACTTCTCAAAACTCAACTCCCTCTGAAATGGCACATTTTTTTCATTCCCATGGGAAAGCCATTGCTTAGAGAAGCAAGTAGACAGAGGTGCTGAGAGAGAATTCTTCCAGTCTCATCTACCTTTAATGAGACAGGCTCCATAGCAAGTGGCTAAACTGGTGGTTTGTTCTGGGCCCAGAAGCATACCTAGAAGTACATGCCTGTGTGTAATATTCAAATTCACCTCGAGGCAGTCTGCCAGGAGAAGAGTACAGTGGTCAGTGCCTGGGAGCTGCAGCCTACTTCTTAAGGAGTGCTCTCCCCATTCCCTGGCTCCTCCCTCTCTACCCTCCTGGGTTCAGGGGCTGGTCTCCAACTCTGACCACCCAGTGGTGTGAAACAAATGATTAACCCTTTGGCACCAGCATGACAGAGTTTTCTCTACTAATTGGTAATTGAAAACCCATTACTGAGTGATGTGGGGATACTCCAATTCCATATGTCAGAAGTTAATAAAAAATTAAATATTGTATTCTGCTGGAGGGGGATTAAAATTTTTAAGTTGGATGATATCTTTTTCTCCTCCTGCCAGCAGCTGAGACTGACAAGCTGTTGGTCTCTATGAACTGGCCTGCTCTCTACAAGTCTGGAAGGGTTTTATCTGGAAGGTTAGAAAACTTTTGTCACCAAATCCAACAAGTTCCATCTAGAACTATCCTTCACAGTTTAGAAATGGAGATGGCTCCCAGGGGCCATGTAAAAAGTAGACTTAATTGCCCAATAATTGCTGGCATTTTGCCAGCAAATATATTTGTTAGTTGAAAAAAATATATTTTTTTCCATATTTAGGCTCCTGGAAATGGATAAGAGGGAAATTTATTAAGAACTTTATTTGGACTTGAGGACCCATTTGTGCAAGTGCGTTCCTTATTAATAGGTCTTTGTTCTCACTGTAACCCTCAGACAGAAGTTTTTGAGAGACATACTCATTTTCTTCTGAGTCCTAGCAGCATAGTAATCACTCTTGGCTGAAGACCAGCTGCCATTTGCATGCTTAATAAAAGTATAACACAAATATCATACTCAAAACTATTTTTCCTTTTTAGTCAAAGATTTTAAAATAATCTGGTTCCCCACATCTGCCAAAAATGCTGTTTACCTTGAGTTGAAGTACTTAAAATAGAGAGATAATGCTAAAACAATTTGATCACTCTTTCCTTCCCCTATCAGTCACAAACCATCTCTCTTAATTATAGTGTAAGGACATTTACATAACCAGGGAGAGGGTCCTCTAACTACATTTCTATTGTGCTTGGCACTTGTGTGAAAGGATATTATATTCATGTGCATTAGAGATTGCTTATAAAAGATCAAGACAATAATAGCCGATCAGACGATAAAGGTCTCTTTTCTCCTCCCAGACAGGCTGTCTCTGACAGAAGAATACAGTTCATCAAAAGTGTCTGCAGGTTGTCAAACTCAGGGAGGTTTGGGGACCCTCTGCGGCTGTCATGGTCAACAAGAAGATTTTCTGTCGGGCTTCTCCATCACTCACCCTGAGGAAATAATCATTCACTACATTCTGCATGTTCTCATGATGGAGCTCTCCATTTGAGAGAAAAGAGCCATTTTTTCAAAGGACAATATAGCCTTTCTCTGGGTCCATGTAGCTTCCATTATCAGACCATAATAAATCATATTTATGTTCTCAGTTAATAAGACTGATTACAGCGCAGGTTCCAGACATGGGGAAAGCAAAGCAGGTGAAAAGATGTTTTAATGAAAATATGATAAGAAAACAGCTTCTTTTGAACATTTTGTGCTATTATTTGTAATGATTACAGACAATTTTTGATGCATCTTCTTTAGCAATGGTTTAAGCTGCATAAATTGGCTCACTGGTAGATAAGTAAAAATGATAAAAAAAATCATGAAATCTTCTTATGTTGTCTAGAATCATTATGTACATAACAAGTACAAAATGGGTTTAATGTATATGCTGGGAATGGAGAGGAAACAGATTTCTCAGAAAAGCATGATTTGGGTATTATTCCAAATGATTTAGAAATTTTCTCCTCATCTTGCTTACTAAAGGGGCATGCTCCCTGAAATTTGGGAGTGCTAGTCATTAATTTCATCTTCCTAAATGAATCTACAACTCTGTCTCTTTTATTCAATCTCAAAGTTGTTGTTCCTGTTTTTCTCTTCTTGCTTTCTTTTTCCCTCCCCTTAGAGCTCATACAAAGAGACAAAGAGATATATATTTCCTACTCGATGTTTGTGCACAACTGCCATTAGTGCTAATGGGAGTTAAGTGCCTGGTAGGGAGGAAAACAGACCCTAAAGTTTAATATTGAAAGCTACCTTATTAAAAAGGTCTGGACATTTTTAGCTTCAGTGAGTTCAATTACATTAAAGTACCAACTTTCTAAATTAGTACCAAAAAGAAAAAAATTGGATAAAATATTGAAATAGCTTCAGCCATTAGCTGTATAATACAGACAAACATCTGAAGGCTGAGGACTCAGGATGTGCAGTATGACTTGTTCGTTCATATTAATTTACCAGTTTGATGGTGTAACAAATAACAATTCCAGGTTAGCATGTAACACTTAGAGTACTTGTTTCCACTGTCCCTTTGTAGCCTTGCTGAGGATTTTGTTATCCTTGGATTTTATTTTCTAAAAGGCTATGAAGCGTCTTGTATTCCATGTTACTCTGACAGTGGTATTCCAACATTTTGAGTTAGCACAATTCAGATTCGGCAAGTGGTTGGGATATTTTATTTATTTGGGTTGGGGCGTAAGAGAAGGTTGGCATCTTTCTCATTTAGGCCTCACATTATGCACATATGAGAGTTTCTTTAAGAATTTGCTTGTGGAACAGCCATTGTTATAAACTGAAAGTGAGCACATTCTCATGGTCAGACACGTGAAAAGGCATGATGTTCATAGCACTGCAAGCTCTTCTTACCCAAAGAAAACTTAACCAATATACAGTGGCTCAAAGATTCTAAATTTTGTTCAGAGATGCTTGGAATCTACTTTTTCGAAGGGAGTTAAAGCTAATGTTAGATGTCAGAGTTGACAAAGGTAGTAAGGCCTAAGAGATTGACCTCATGTGTCAGTTAAAAAACTCACAAGGAAAGTTTATGGATTTAATTGGTAAGGGTGGGCATATACACATGTATGTTCATGTGTGTCTGTACAGGGGTCTCGTGGTTTTCAGCAAAACTACTCTGTTTCCCAAAATTAAAAACCTATTCAGATTCAGTCCCCTCGCCCTAGATCATTGCTTTCATTGTTGGCAATTTCTCTTTGTTCTATTTTAACATGAATGGAGGAGGGGAAGAATGATTGGCCCCATGTCATGCACATTGTGACTTCCACAAAAATAACTGCCAAGACTTCTGTTGCATCTTCCTTTGATTTTAACCCTCATTCCATTTTTCTTTTCAAGAGCTGACCCAAAAATACTGCCTGCAAGAGAATTCCATAATGCCACCATATATCTAATATCTATTGCGGTGTTTTATTTCAGTATTGCTAGACTTAACCACAAAAGATTTTGACATTGATAAAGAATCTGTCAAGTCTACCTTGATCAGTACATTAAAATCACTCATGACAGAAAAGACACAACCCCCGAAAGCAGTGGTAGATTAGGGGAAAATGATTTGAAGCTTCATTGTTGTGAAGCCATTTCATGTTGGACCATATACAGAGCCAAATGTGTTTTACTTGTCACACTCCATTAGCATGTGCGAAACAGTTGGGAAAATGGCCATATGATTAGACAGAAGGAAACCTGGATTCTTCATATTGGGACTTGTTACCACTGAATAATGTCTTTGCAAGAGGGATTGGTTTGGATTTTGTTAATATCTTGTGTGATTGAAAATAAGTGGCATTTGTAGGTAGAATCTGCAGAGGTTGACCACAACCTTTAGTCCTTAGTCCCTCTAAGTCTACTTCATTCAAAACATTTTAGAAAGAAGGCTTGGTAAAATCCACAGTTTTATTGGCAGAAATTTCATTGACATTTGACTCCTAAAATTACCTCCCTTGATCCCTTGAAGGAACCAGTAGATTACATTTTCCTGGGGCCTAAGCCATCTCTTTATGGCTAAGAAACAAGTAGAGGATTGGTTTCAAATGAAGACTTCTTGAGGAGTTCCTACCTGAACTGGATCCGAATTTGTGTAGATACTCAAGATACTTCTGTTGTCATTGCTGTTATTTTGTTTGCTTGTTTGTTTTTAGGGAGAATGTCAGCACAAAAATGACTTGGAGGATGGGAAGACAAGAGAGTCGTGATATAAAGAAAATTCCGGCACTGCTTAAAGCACCATGATCTGCACACTAGGAAAGGGCAAGGGCTGCCTCTTCCTCCTGGGGGCAATCTGCTGAAAAGCCGCAGTGAGTGAAAGAAAATCTATTATGGGAAAGAAAGATGGCTCTCTTGAATATTGCCTGCATAATTACATATGTATGAGTGTGACAATTTCTTAGAATGAGATCTTGTCCCACATGTGATTGGGGAATTATTAAATGTTGACTATTAAATATTTTAGTTAGTTTCACACTGTGTTTATTTCTCCAGAATGATGAATATGCAAATTTAAAATGGAATTTCTTCATTCCCAAGAAGATGACGAAGCCAAGTCCTTGGCAGTGTCTAGCTTTTACAGATGAGCCCTTTGATAGGATGACTCACCACCACAGGCGGCCCAGAAAAACTAGGCCACCTCCCTCCTCTGAACAGGGGGACCGTTTAGGCTGAGACCTCTGCTGAGCGTCTCTGGGCACCTGTGTGAATCTGCGGCCCGATTCAGTTCCCAGCCCCAGACGCTTACCCATAGCAAGAAAGGCTGAGGACAAAGCGGCAAGGGAGAGCAGTTTATGCCACCAGACGCCCAGCTCTGTGGGCAGGAATTAGTACAAAACGCCCACCTCTGTTTTTCTTGAGCTTGTTCACCTTGTCTGGCTCCCAAAGCTTGCGAGTGAGTCCAGGAATTCAGCGCAATCCTCCCCTGTGACTGCACAGAATGTGTTTGCAGTGCTGAAGGCCAGCCCAGGACTAATTTTGAAAAGTAAATCTGGGAAACAGTTTAATTTCATTTCCCTAGAGTTTTTTTTTTTTTCTGGGACAAAGTTAGACGGGAAGACAAGTCGAACCAAATAGCAGTTAAAGGCAGAGGCTACCCCGAGCAAAAGTCTCCTGCATGATCCTCACTTACCGCTTTCTTTCCTGTGAAGGAAGTTTAATGGATTTTCAGTAAGCCGTGATAATTTTTGATGCTATACGGAGTTTTTACAACACTTGTGATGCTGGTATAAACTGTAGCATCTTTAATAAAGCGTCCTTTTAACACCTAGGAGAAAGGTGAAATCAACTATATACAAGTGACTTGTGCTTTGCGATCCCACCACATAGTACAGGTTTATTGGGCACCTACTATGTGTCAGGCAGTGTGACTCACAGACTGCTCTTCCTCCTCCTTTACCACACACTCTTCCCTGGGGAGACTGAGTTAGTGGCTCAAAGTTATTGCTTTTGAATTTGTAGTTCTCAAGTCAAAAGCAGCCATGTGGGCACAAACTCTACCATCCGAATATGAATATAAATGAAAGGTGCGTTAACCTATTCTATAGGAATCAGTGTAGAGTGGTCTATATAATAACAGCCTGGAGGTGCCCATTTGGTTCAAACCCTGGCTCCACTGCTTTCTAGTTAGGTTGCTCTGCAGTAAGTTATTTAATCTCTTTGAGTTCTAGTTTCTTCATCTATACAATGACGAATAATTTCTGTCTCTTTCTCTCTCCCTCTCCCTCTCTTTGTCTCTACAGTACTGGGGGTAGAACCCAGGGCTTTTGCCCTGAGTTATATCCTTTGTCCTTTTAAAAATTTTTATCTTGAGACAGAGTCTTTCTAAGCCACCAAGTTGCCCAGGCTGGTCCAGAATTTGTGATCCTCCTGCCTCAGCCTCCCAGAGTTGTGGAATTATAGGTGTGCATTACTACACCCTGCTAATAATATTACTTATTTTCCTTAGCATTGCTGGGAGAGCTAAATGCATGTGAACAACTGGCACACCCAAAGATGACTATGAGGGCAGCTCTCTAGGGAGTCAGTGTTTAGGGGTTGCCAAATACTCCAGGAATAAATAATGAATTGGTACCAGTAACTCAGGTTTCTGTACATGGCCCTGATATATCTGACAAGACAGAATTGGCCTTGTCCTGCCAGTGTCTTTCAGAGAAGGGGAAAATTGTGATTTGCCAGTGTTGCTGGGTTGCCTGGTGTAAATGGAAATCCTGCCACCAGGTGCCCTGAGACCAGCAGTCACAGTAAGCTGAGAATATGAATCTAGTATGCTGGGTTCATGGCTGATGCTAGAGAATTATACTATTATCTAACTTAGAATCCTCATTCCAGGCTTCCAAGCAGTTGTCGGATTTAGAGAATCATAAGAGATATCAAGAAACACTGTCCACTAGAAGTCAGAAAAATTATATTTTTAAACCAAATTCAAACAAGATTTTTACAACCCTATCAATAATATAAATCATCTCTATGCTTTGAAAGGAACACTATTCAGTTACGTGAATAAAATAAGTGAAATGAAAGGCAATTCCAATTAAGTTAAAATGTTTCCGTGCATGAAATAATTCTCTTGTTTTGAACAGCAAGAAAGATGAGTATGAGTGATATTAGTGGAAAATCAGCTTCTCCCACCCTCAGAAAATGACTGTTCGTCAATAAACCCTGCCTGGCGGTGTCACCAAACTGTGAGTCTCCCCAGCCGCAGGTCCTGTCTCTCTGAGCGCAGGGTCGGCCACATGGAATTCTCAAGAAGCACTCGCTATCAGAGTGCACTTATTTGCAGTTAGAGCAACTTATTTTAAAGTAACAAATTGTGAATTCCTGAGAAAATACTGAGTCAGGAACTTTAGGACTTCAAACTTGTGACACAAAGACAAAGGAGAAACAGTTACTAGAACTGCGATTCTTGCCTGGGGTGGCCCTGCAGCTCCCACCCCTCTTTCCTCTACTTCTTCCTATGTTGTATCCTTCTCCTCCTCCTCCTTTCTCTCATAACTTTCATCTGAACAGGCCAAGCCGTGCCCCAGTCTCTGTCCATGGCCTGCAGTGTGCCACCTTTCTTTGCCACCCGTCTTCCTGTCCTTCCCTTCGACCACCTTCCTCCAGGGACAGTGGTCAATGCACGGTTGAACAGTGAACGATCAGGAGGACGAGCTCTCTTCTCTAAATTTCCACATGGCCCTCCTTGGTTGTGGCTTTATCTCGCTGTTTTGTACAAGTGGAGTGATAGTCGGTGGCAGAACAGTGGGCTGAGGGGCAGGAAGTAGGGTTACAATCCCTGTCTGCCTCAAGCAGCCAGATTTTAGCATAGCTGTGAGAATTAAATGCTGTGTTATCTGCAGGTTTCCTGGGCATTGCAATCTCTAGAAGCAAAACACGGAAGCCGAACTGTATCTGTGGGTAAAATACTTTTGAAGAAGCCTTTTTCCATAAGCACTATTTTATGTAAAGTGCCAGAAAACAGAGCAGATCTGGCAGGATATATTCCAGATAAAGCACACCGGGTGCTCAGGGCCTGCCTACTAGCTTCCCATGACCCATCTTCTCCTCTCCCCACTCCTCCTCCTCCTGCAGCTCTTTGGTGACCTCTCAGAAACTTACCAGAACTCTGGGTGGGCTACACCATCTCCAAGATCCCCTTTGATCCAAGGTGACTCTGATAGTGAATCAACTCCTGGAGGATGGGCACTGGACCTTTTTTCTTCCACTTCCTCCTTCCACTCTGTCCTGCCAATGCTTAGAATGCTAGATATATGTAAGCAACTTGTATTTGTTTATTTTAGTCAAATTTTGGTGACTAGAAGTATCACTGTATGTAGTTACATAGACTTAGCCTATCTGAATCAGTATTTCTGAACTTGTATAGGGTTTTAGTAATAAACCTGGAGAAAAATTTCCTAGTAAAATGACACTTTCCATTCCCAGTGTTCTGAGCATTGAATGAGCAGGAGACAACTGTGGGCGTGGTTGTAGGCTTCAGGACTGGCACCAACAAGGGTCCCCCTGGCCTTTTCTGGGCAGCATGCCCTGATCTCCTGGTCATAGCTTATTGGTCCAGGAGTGGCCAATGACCAAGCCAATAAGAATCATTCCCCGGGTTTTCTAAACTGTCCACCCTCTGAGGGTGGCAGGCCCTGGATGCCAGACTTGGGAGATTTCTCCTATCCAAGTACTAACCAGGCCTGACTCTACTCAGCTTCCTGGATCAAAGAAGGTTGGGTACACTCAGGGCAGTGTGGCAGTTGCCCCCAGACTGAGGAGCTTTCTGAGCCATGTCCCCTGACATGAGAAGAGAACAAAGCCCCCACTCTTTAGAGAGGAATTACTATGAGTCAGTGGTGTTTAAGTTCCAGTGTCCAATTGGGCCTATGTCCTTGCTCTTACTGCTAATTATGATCCAGCATCTAGTCCCCTACTTGGCCTAAACTAGTCTGCTTCAAGTTTCTGTCACTTTCAACCAAAGGAATTCAGAGGAATCAGAGCCTTTTTTTCTGGTTCTTAACTGATTTCATGTCATTTTTCATAATGTTATTATTGAGAAGATTCCCGTATCTTCTTCTGAGCCTCTACCTGAAACGCAACACAGGTACCCATGGCCAGGAGGGCCACCTCCACAGGAAGACCCTCACAGACCCAGGCTGGTTGTGGGTTGTGCTTTCTGCAAAACTAGTCCGGGCTTCTCCCAGTGTTAGTGTGATGCTTCCTAGTTACCTCTTCATACTTGGGACAGCCTGGTAACCACTTGCTTGTCTTCTCCCCTAGGCTATGTCTTCCTTAAGGTACAGTTTCCCCATCCCCTATGCTAAACACGAAAGTCGGCACAGCATAGGCAGGAATTTTCTTGCATTTGTTTTTAACAAAATGCCTTGCCAAATATTACAGTCAAGTGGCTCTCCTTTCTTCAGTGAGGGGTTATACCTTTAACTACTAGTGCTAAAAAGTGTCCTTGCAATCACTGAGAGCAGCGTCACCTCCCTCAAAGGGTAGAGGAAATCCAGGGCATCATCCATGGCTAGCTCCAATGGCTTTGTGTCACTGACAGGTGTTGGTCTCCAAAGGCTGAGTATAAGTTACCTAAAAGGTATCCAGCTCCTAGAGGAAAAGCAGTGGGGAGACCCAGCAACTAGAAAAGAGGGTAGAACACTTTGGATATTGATAGTTTAATATAATAATAATAATAAAGTACAACTGAACTGCAAATGTGGAGCCTTTGGGAAGGAGGGGAGAAGATAGTTGTGGACCTCTGAGTTGGTGGACCCTGGATCTAAGACCAGCTCAGTGCCTCTGAGGCTAACGAGGACCCAAGCATGCAAGTGGAAAAGAGCTGGGCACCAGGGACTGCAAGGTGGGAGCCAAGAAGTGGAGATAGTCTTGACTACAGTCAGCACTGAGAGAAAATGGAGCCTCCCTTCCTGGGAGAAGTCTCATAGGTCTGGGCAGGGATCTGGACCCGGGAGGCACTTTGCCCACAGAGTCAGTTTGATCTGCAATTTTACAAGACAGCTTCACCACACTGCAAGGAGAAGTGGAGGAACAAGCAAGGGGGCGTCCACACTTCCTGACTACATGCATGGTTAGGTCTGGCTGTGCAAATACCCAGGGCTTTTGGATGGTTGGTCAGGGAGTAAGGAGAGGTAAGAAAGAGATACTGGAATGTCCTGCTAATTAGGAGCTTCCGGCAATTAGTTTTAAAAGAGCCATGACCAGATTTTGTATCCCAGTTTTGAAAGACAGATAATACCGGCTGCATGTTGAATAAACAAATGTTGCACTTAGTCAGTACGGCAGGCACTCCTCTACCCCAGCACAGAAACGCCAGATGTTTATGTAGGTTTCATGCCGCGCAACAGTCCTGTTAAAATAGGCAGGGCTGTTAGCACTATCTTCATTTCAGAGGTGAGGAAATTACTGCCTAGAGGGATGGACCTACTCACCATGGCTGGGACAGTTAATAGCAGAGCCTTCCCACTCTGGCCAGGTGTCTCCAGCGGGCACTTCCAGAATCGGGGGAGGGGTGAACAGCGGCGAGAGCGCTTGGCCCCTTGTCAAGTGATCTGGCTTCTGCTTCCGAGTACCGCAGGCCAACCCTTTTCAGGGGATCTTTAGGCTTTCCTTTCCTCATTTTGAAAGAGAAGCCAACTAGCCTCAGAGGTCCTTTCTAGCATGAGCATCTCTTGGATTTGGGGGTACAAAGAACAAAATGGCTCCTGGGTAAGTTGGGGGGGAGGGTACCAGTTGTCCTCTAATAGCTAATGTTCCTTTTAATTTTTAAAAATAAACTTTAACTTTTTAGAAGTTTTAGATTTACAGAATTATTGGAGAGATAATAGAGTTCCTATAAATCCCATGAAAAGTTTCTTTTATTATTAATATCTTTTGCTGGTACAGCACATTTATTACAATTAATAAACAATAGCAAATGCTTGCTATTTTTCTGCTTTTTAGATAATAGCTACCTCAATGTTGAAAAATTTTAAAGGGAAGGTTGGTGGATATCCAGAGTCCTTCCCCTTTTCTGGTAAGAATAAATCCTTCCCCTACTCTTTCGATTCATTTAGACCAAGTGAAGTGCATGAGTGGTGGGGAGATGAGCATGTATTTCATCCCACAGTGACAGGTTGCAATGACAGGCTCAGATGTAACAGGTGAGCCAAGATGCCCCTATCCGAATCAATCTGGGATTGCAGTGAAACTGCTGAGGTTGCTAAGTTGCTAGAAGGTACAGCTGGATCTGGTAGTGGCCATGTTGCCACCACAAGAACCTCCATGAGAGTGAATCCGCACCAAAGGCAGCAGATGGCAGAGCAGTGAAGGCAGATGGACTCCTGCCTTCATCTTCTGGACACCTGGTCTACTTTCCAACCTACAAGAATGCATCAGTTCTCTCTTTTGCTTAACTCTGTTTGGCATTGGTTTCTGACAGTAGCCATCAAGAGAATCCTGAGACATACGGAGTGATGCACATAGGTTAGAGAGTTACATTTTTTTACAAGAGTTACATTTTTTTTGTTGTTTTGTTTTGTTTTTTGGTACTGGGGATTGAACTTGGGTCCTTGCTCTTGCACAGCAGGCGGCGAAACCACTGAGCTAAATCCCCAGCAAGAGTTACATTTTTGAAAGCTTTCTTTGATAATTATGTGAAAGGAAAAATTGAGAAAGTAAGATCTAGAGGCAGAAATCTAGTTAGGAAGTTGTAACAAAAGACAGGGATTTCTATGACCCAAATTGGGGCCATGTCCACGGTGGCAGAGAGAAGGATGTGGAGTTGATACATAGCTAGGAGGTAGAAGGTGCGTGATTGGGCTGAAGGTTCAGGAAGCAGCAGGGCGACACCATCCTTTTGGCCTGGGGAGCCTGAGGATGGCAATGTCATGGACTGAAAAGGGCAATAAGGAGGTATGGTTCAGGGGAAAGATGAACAAGTCCCAGCACACTGAGTGTGCAGTGCCTGTGGATGCCCCAATAGAGAGGCTGAGCAGAAATGTGAGTAAATGAATTAGATCAGGTGAACAGTCCAAGTTGAGGTAGAAGGTCTGGGAGGTCTTGCCTGGGCTTTGGAGCGATCATGGTTGGATTAGACATCTCAGGAAGAGTTTACAGAGCAGAAAGGCAGTCACTGAGATTGCACCTTGGGGGCACTGGTGTTCTCGGACCATCTGAGGGAGGAGGAGCCCACTCAGAAGACCGGAGGAGCAGGCAGAGAGATGGGAGGAGACAGGCAAATGTACCAAGAAAGAAGTGTTCAGTCACACCCAAGACAATGGAGAGGTCAGGAAGGGGACAGACAGAGTCTGCATGGTCTCTAAGCAGGTTCCATGTTAGAAGTGGTGTTGAGCTTTGCCTCGGGCTGTCAGTGCCCTAAAAATCAGTGAGGACTTTGACGTTAGAGTCCACCTCTGCCCCATAGTGCTGGTACGATGTACGATGTTGGACAAATTTACGCATATCTTTGGGTCTATTCTCCAAATCTACACAAAGCAGATAATATCCCATTTGTACAGGATTACCACAGAGCTTCAGTGAGACATTGGCAAAGTCCTAAAGCCAGAGCCTGGCACATGCACGAATCCAATGTGTCAGCTTCTTTCTCTCCCACTCACTCCTTCCATATCCGTGCTGTCCACTGACCTCACTTCTGTCTATTCTTTGAGGAGAGGCAGGCTGCCTTTGAAGTGCCTGAGCAGAGGCTGGCTCTTAAGTCACCCTCTTCTTCCTATAAAAATTAAAATTAAGGGTGGTATAAGGAGTCAGTAAACAGGAAGAGAGGAGGCACTGGGTCCTCGGAGTTCTAGTGGCCGTGAATGGTCCTCAGTCCATGAGAGTGGTCTGAGAAAGCAGAGCCCTGAGGGTCAAGGACCAGGGACAGAGCCAGTGCTACCACACAGTGGGCCACCTGCAGCTGGAAGGCAGAGAGCCTCAGGAGGTAGAGCCCTGGCAGGGAAACAAACTGAAAGGGACTCTGTCCACGAGAAGGAAGATTTCAGGGGAGATTTCCCTTCCTGTTTTCACTCACACATGAGCACTTCTCGCTATGCGAGGGGCCCATGTTATAATCTGGAAACTGGTGGCTGGCGTAAACTCCCCACACACCTCACTCACTGCAGTCCTGTGAGACGAGCCTTTCGGATGCCTACTTCATGGAAAGGGCAGAAGCAATGCAAATTTACTCAGATTCCGTTAATAACATTTCTATTCACAACCATCTCTCAGTGCTCACCTACAAATATATCATTTTCTCCGATATCTGTTACTTATGGAAAGTAGTCTAACAAAAATAAAGAAATATGTAAAATAACCTAATTTTTTATTTTATGCCCAAAATGTGGTCAAGGAGGGCCATGTGACCATGGCGTCTGGAAAGGCACATGTTCAATTTACAAGCACTGGTGGCCTCACAAGGACTGGGTTAGTTGGTCAGGCTTAAGACACAAGAGGCCCTTTGCAAAAACTGGGATAGTGGAAAGAGTTTTTTTTCTTCTTGAGAACTTGAATTTTAAGCAGTATTATTCAAAGGTATTTCACATGTATTTTTGTTCAGTGCTTTGTGTAATCTGGTTTGGCTAATCGATATAGATCTTTCTACTAGCATGTTATTTGATTGACTTCACATCAGCTCCTGAGAGATCTCCAGAGTGAATTTCATATTCCCGCTCTAGAGCCACAAACAACGCAGAGCAAGGTGGGAGTGGAAATGAGGCAACATACATCCCAGCTGGATGTGGTGGCGCAAGCCTGTAATCCCAGCACTCCGGGAGACGGAGGCAAAGCGCAGCCTGAACAACCTAGCAACTTAGTGAGACCATGACTCAAAGTAAAAAGTAAAGAAAGGGGCTGGGGATGTCGGTAACTCAGTGGGAAGACCCTGCATTCAATCCCCAGTATTGAAGAAAGGATAAGAAAGAAAGAAGAAAACTGATTCCAGAGAAGACTTGGGGAGTAACGGTTACCGGGTCACAAAATTTGCAAAAGAAAGTCAAGGTAACTGCACAGAATTCTGTAGTTCTCTGTGGTACAATAACCTAGGAACTCTGGAGTCAAAGGCCTCGGGTAATCATATCAATCCCTCAACTGAGTATGCACTTTGCAGGGTTTATTTTTTCATCATTCCATGTTTTGCATTATCTGGCTTTAGCTGGGCACGGTGGTGCAGGCCTGTAATTCCAGCCCTCAGAGGGCTGAGGCAGGAGGATTGCAAATTTGAGGCCAGCCTGGACTAAATAGTGAGTTCAAGGCCATACTAAACTATAAAACAGTGTCTCAAAAAATGAGTTATTTGGCTTTGACCTGAATACACTTCAAAGAGGGCTTGACTCATAATGACTAAGGGACCAGAAAGGGTAGCAACCTCTCCCCAACATTGCCTTGCTAGAAGCCCTTGGAAGAGGCTTTCAGAATTAAGCCCAAACCTTGTCTTTCATACAGAGTTATATACATAGAGTTATATAGATAGATTGGTATAGAGTCTAGCCCTATGAAAGTATCATCAGGCACAATTTAATTTGCGTTTTTCTTTTTTGACAACCAAATTCTCTGACAACTGGGTTTTGAATTAAGTGTTTAACTCGATGACCAGAAGATGGCGCCCTTTGTCGTTTATTAACCCTATTACCCATGTGTAAAAGCAGGAGGCATAGCTGCTTTAATTTGGGTAGTATTATAAGTAGTGTTTTCAACTGTTTATTATGCATGAACCAAAATTCCATGAATGTGTAACATTTTCTCCTGTATTTCCCTTTTTTATAACATCATTTAAATTCCTTATTAATAATTTAAAAATGTTCTGGATTTTAATCACTTTTCTCATCTCTAAAATATCTGATGAGATGTTTTTCCCCCCGCTGAAGGTGAGACAGAGGAAACCGTCAGCAAGGAAGGAAGAGGAGACCCTCACACTTCAATCCAGCTCACCGCCCCCTCATGCTCATCACCCCATCTTTTCAGTTTAATTGAAGAGTATTTATTTAATTAATAAAAATATCTGTCTAGTGAGGGTTTCAAAAATCTAAGGCTAGAATAGGCTGCCATTAATAAAATAAGTTTTTTATATCCAAGTTTAATTATGGTGGTGTGTGTTTGATAGCTTGTTACTGTAAATAAAAGAGATAAAGGCAGCCCTTCACTGGAGGAGCTGGAGAGCTGTGAAATATGTACCTAATTAAAACTATTGGTGTAAGAGGCTAATAAAGTACATGTGCCTACTAGATGTCTTATTCTAATGAATCTCGGCTAATTTGCTTTGACTGATGAATTTCGGTGTTAGTGGTAGGGGCTGAATAATTATGAAATTTATCACAAGATACAAGGACTCATTAAGGATTACTCAGGTTGAGTTAGAGGAATGTTTTCTTTGTCAAGAACACAGGCTTTGACCGACATAATTGTGGCAATACCAGAGTAGCCAGATTCCAATTCAAACCGAGCGAGCAAGTGTTCAAGGCCAGGCGGTGGCACACTCAGGGACGGGGTGGGGTAGGATGGAGCCTGCCTGTCACCCCTGGAAGAGACACCTGTATGCTACTCAAGCCTGGATTTTAAACAGAAGCATTCAATGTACACAGACCTCCCCATGGATGGGTCTAGTGACAAAGACTTTCTTCTTGTCCCTTTATTGAAAACATGTCCCACCCTTCCTGAAGAGAAGCAGACAGGATACTGTTTATTCAGCAAGGACACTGCTGTAGAAAGCCGCATTCAGCCCCCAATTCTCTTTTCCCCTGTTTACAAGTTTTAGCTCTCTGAGTCTCCAGGCTTATTAATTAATCTGATTTCATTAACTCCTGCATGATAGACTGCAAAACTGGAGCCAGGATTGGAATCCATTTGGGCGGTTTCACATAACCACTTGCATAATGCCCAAAAGGTAAAATATATCTGTTTATCTAGAAACAGAAATTCTAATTGTTACAACGTGTGCTTCGGGCGAAGCAGAGGAGCGCTGTCTTTGCGGAGCCAACTTGGATGTCCTGCTTTGCATTGCCAGGGAACTGAGAAGCCGGTGCAGACAGACACACCTGCGCACCTTTCCCAGGACAACTGCCCCACTGTGGGCAGGCAGGGCCCCCGCTCAGGGGACATGAATGAACGAGTGAGTGAAAGGCCAGTGTGAGCAAGCTGGTGTTGACCTCTTCCCCTGAGGACCAGGCAGGGTGATGTTAGAGACGGGGTTCGGAGGGGGGGGAAGCAATGCCCTGTGAGTGATATTGATGACACCCCAGCTGGAAGTCCTGCCAAACAAATGGAGACTTACTTACCCCCAACCACCAGAGATGGTGGATCCCAGGGCTGAACTCACTGGGCATGGTGGAAGGTCCCCTGGGGCTTTATGGCCCTGACCCAAGGGCAATCGCAGTGTGAGAGTTTCCCCAGTTCATATGCTGGCATCGCCGTATGAACAAAGAGCTGTCAACTCTATGACATCAAACCATGTATCTATAAACATAGAGATAAATGTGTATGTACTGTGTATTCACATACACATAAATATGTTTCCAAATGTGATTTAAAACTAAAACAAGTAGAACTCATCTTGTACATGTCTGACCGTTAAAGCTTTCAAATCAATTAGCCCTCTGCCTTGCTTTTCTCTCTAAAAATAACTTTGAAACAAACTTTTCCAATTTACTTTCCTTTGAAGAGAAATGTCAGGCATGGCATTAAATGAAATTTCAACTTTTATGCCAAAGATCAAAACTTACTAGATTATTTGTTGAATTTTAAAATTATTGTATCCCCCGTCTCCCAAATCAGAAAGGCATCCTTGTTTTCAGAAGAGAAAACATCTCTGTCATTCATGACAGAGCAGAGATGAGACTTCCAGGGTTTCCCCTTCTCTAGCTCCCCTTCTTCGTGACCTTTTTGACCAAAATAAGTAATAATAATAAAATAACAAATAATAATAAATAGTAAGTGCTTACTGAGTGTCAGACATAGCACTTTACAATGTTATGTAATCCTCCTAACCACATCAAGAGGTAGGAACCATTATTATTTTTTCATTTTATGAAAGAAGAAATTTTTGCACACAAGCTCAAGAGCTGAGGGAATTTGTCCCACCTGGCCAGTAAGCAGTGGAATTAGACTGTCTTTCTAATCACTACACCACCCTGTCTTCTGACTGAAAAATGCTCTGTGTTACCTTGAGAATCTTCTAGAACTTTACCACAGTTTTTAATTTCTTACCACTTAAGCAAAAAGGACCCATGGCTCTAATACAAATCAATGCCAGATCTGTCAGTTCAAAAAAAGGCACGTGAGGTTAGCGTCTGTTTGAAAGGCTTTTCCCAAGTAACTGTGGGAAGGCAAAAGGCTGGTAATGGAACTGAAATGAGGCAATGGCTCAACATGGGGGAGGCCACTATTTTGCGCATTGTTTTCCCATTGTCACTGATCCATTATCAGTAAATTAGGGCCGGTTCAGGTGTCAATGAGTTGAAGAGCTGTAGTGAGGAACCCAAATAAATCCCCAAATAGATCTACCTGCCTCCTAAAACCTTGCTTCTTCCTAAGCCAGGATTTATATACATTGCTTTGTCTTTTATGGTTTCCTGAGTTAGTTATTTCAGACTAAAATTTGTGTGTTATAAGCCTCAGTGTGCACGATTTCTTAGGTCTTTAATTACAAAATGTAGTTTTGACCTATTAAATCATGTGTGAGGTAAATTTACCATAATAAAGCCTTATTAATCCCCACAATTAAGAATTTACAGTTCTTTGCTGAACTTTTTATTGAATTTCCCATGAGGACTCTTGCATGACTGATCGTGAAGAAACTTTTTAGCCTATAGCCAGGAAGCCCACAGAGTTAGAAGTGAGACTATGACTTAGAAAATTGCTTCATGTGTGGAGCCAGACTTCCTGTCTCTGCAAACAATGTCTCACTGAGGTCTCACAAAAGCCCTGTGAGGTGGCTGGCCACTGTCATACCTGCTTTATAGATGGGGAAACTGAGGCACAGAGTGTGATGTAACAGAACAACGTCATACAGCTGCTAAGTGGCTTCAACGGACACATCCCCCTCCAAAACTCATGCTGTAAACCAGAGTCTGCACTACCTCTTTCAATAATGATCATAAACACACATAGCAGCACTGCTGTGTGATAGCATATATTTATCATTTATTTAGCTCATTAATTCTAATAATAGCTCTGTGAAGGAGGTGGTATTTATCATCCTCTTTTATAAATGAGGAAACTGAGGCATAGAACAGTTATACAACCTACTTGAGGTTCCACATCTGAGGGTCCATATGCCCAAGCATTGGGCTGCTAGGTCTCTGCTCATCACCCCACCTGTCCCTGTCCTACCTTCTCCTTGCTCCCATCTCCCTTCCCTGTCCCAAGCCCCACCCAGGATACGTCAGTGCCAGCAAATTTGCTCGCTCCTCTTCTCCAAACTCACCATGCATTTTCCATCTATGGGGCTGCATACCCCCATTCTCTGGGCTGTGGAAGCTTCCTGGCCTTGACAGGCAGGCAGTCTTGGGTTTGTCTCTTTTTTGTGCTGCTCCTTGGCTCCCCTTCGCAGTGCCATGATGCAACACACTAGAAAGCGTGTGGCATGTGAAAAGCTAGGTAGGGGCTGTGGTAAGTGTCAAAGAGTGCCAAGGGTTTTCTATTTCTCACTCTCAAAGCTCCATTAAGGTCCTTTCGCTGCACACTGCTTACGCGGACAGTATAATCAGCTGACCTCTGAGCCTCCACAGCCCTCTGGGTAGGGATCCCTATTTAGCACTAATCTCTGCTTGCTTTGTGTCCTGGTTACGTCTGTGTGCCTCTGTCTCTCCCACTAGTCTCTGAGGTTCTTAGGGTCAGAGACCATGTCTTATTCATCTCCATATCTCCAGAGGCAAGACCAGGACCTTATGCATTCAAGCTTTTGAAAAACATTCGGTGGGTGGAATTGAAAACCAATGTGTTAGAATTGTGGGCTCCATTAATTGTGTGCTACATGCTCCAAGAAGATCTCACAGGAAGGGGAATGGTAACTCCCACTATAGCGATTTAGAAACTGTCAGGCAATGTCCTGCTTTGTCTCTTCCCACTCTATTCACTGCTCAAACCACTGATGATTTCTTGCCTGAAGCTTTCTTTTCTCTAAGTTGGGGCAACGCGTGCTGAGAAGCCCCAAAGTGGGGTCATGTGAGTCCTAGGAGTGATTGAGCAACCTTTTGCTATGATATGAACGTTTGTGTCTCCTCAAAATGTACCTGTCAAAATCTAGTCCCCAGTGTGATGGGGTTAGGAGATGTGGCAGTGGGAGGTGATTAGATCCTAAGGGTAAAGCCCTCCAGAATGGATTAATGTCCTCATAAGAGAAGCTTCAGAGAGCTGCCTTGTTCTTTCCACAACATGAAGACACAGTTAGAAACAGGTCCTCACCATTAGATGAGGTGCCTTGATTTTGTACTTTCCAGCTTCCAGAACTGTGAGAAAAGAAATTCTATTGTTTATAAGCCCTAGTTATATTTTTTAGCAGCAACCTGTACAGACTAACATTCTCTCTTTCATGGACTGGGGTCATGGCAGATGTAGCAGGCTTGCTTGTCTCCCAGGACTCCTCCACATGAAATTCTGACCTGTGATTATGGATTAAGAACACGGTCTCCCAAAGTTGTTCGGAGGGAATGTAGTATGGAATAAACTGTCAAAGCCCTGTACTCAATCCCAGCCTCTTAGCAGCTTTGTGGCAGAGGACAAGCCCCTGAAGGGTCAGGACCTGGAATTAGCATCTTTTGACCTAGGGTCTAGGTGTGGGTGGTGAGTGGGGAGAGAATGAATGACTCAATGTGTCAGCAAAGAGGGCCAGGACTCAGATGACAGTGAAGACCCTGAGCAAAGCACAGGGAACGGGAGTCTCAGAGAAGGGTGATGACGAGATGTCCCCAGTAGTCTTCCGTTTCCTTATCATGCCTGGAGTTAACTTAGCTGAGACTCTGTGTCTGTAGGCTATTTGCAAAGAAGGAACTTAATTCCTGCCTTGCTCCACGCGGGAGCAGAGGAGGGCAAAAGAATTAGTATACTCAGCTGTTAAAAGGTCTAACTCTGGAGCTGCATAGATGCAGATTTCTAAGAACCAGCTTGGTGACCCTGCTAAGTCTTCTGTACCTCAGTTTCTTCATCTATAAAATGGGAGACATTAATAATAA